CAACCTAGACAGATGAACACCAGCAACTTCTACCGGAAGCTCTCCTCTCCAAGACCTGCCAGCAAGAGAGAGCATTCCAGGGCTCCTCCTCAGACCTTCTTCCAGAGGTCACTTCCGCCCCTGGCTCCACCCCCCAATGGGCGTGGTCAGCTTCACAGAAGGAGGCAAAGTGAACATCCCTCTACAGGAATCCTCTGACCAAAGGGGAAGATGTTTCTTGGAATCCTCAGACTGAATGCTCCAAGCTGCTCTCTCTTCCTGCCTGATATACCTCTCTCTGCCCAGCAACTTCATTCCCACCTCCTCATTGCTGGGATTAAGGGTGTGACCTCAGTTTCTCTGTTAGAATGCTTCAAGCTTTTGTAGTTCAGGGTGGCCTTGATCACCTGATTTTCCTGTTTCCTTATCCCAAGTGATGGGATTAAAGGTGTGTGCCACCACTGCCCGGCCTCTATGGACAACTAGTGTCTAGCTCTACACTCTACCTCCAGGCAAGCTTTATTTGTTAGAGCATGAATAAAATATTACCACAGATTGGAATAGTTGTTTTTCTGTATACCTTTAATCCTACTACTTGGGAGAAACACGGGGTAGAATTCTGTGAGGTCCAGTTTTGTGTGTTCTACATGTTCTCTCTGAGTCCTGACAGTAAGAGAACATTTCAGGGCTCCTCCTCAGACCTAATGCCACAGGTCACTTCCGCCATTGGCTCCACCCCTAATGGGCGTGGTCACTGTACTGAATATCTCAGTACAGTGAGATTAAAGGTGTTTGCTCCCAAGCTGCTAAAGACACTTTTCAGAATGCTGCATTTACACAAAAGAATCCCTATGTCTCAAGTGGAAAATTAATGGTGGGTAAAAATTTCACTTTTAAATGTCAGTGATTACAACCCTATCTGTAACTCATAAAAACTCTATTTTTGCCAGAGAGGCATCCCAAACAAAACAGGTCATTGCCAGTGCTCTTGATTGAAGACATTAATTACATTGTGTTGCTAAATACACCAAATACTCCAAGAGTCTCTGTGTGTATTGGTGCATTTATCTCAGAGACTGGAGAGAGACAGAGAGAGAAAGGGAGTCAGAGAGAGAGAGAGAGAGAGAGAGAGAGAGAGAGAGAAATCGAAATGTACCAGGAAACTCCCCTTTCTGTCTCCCTTTTGTAGGATAAGGACAGGGAAACTTGTCAAATGTGTTACTTTCTCACGAACCCATACAATAACTTCCTGCTGGGCAGCTTCTTTGTACTGGTGCAACGCTGGCATGACTGTTTATGGACATAATCAACGATTCTCTTGTTTGGTTTAGACACCTAACCCATAGAGAGATATTCATGCCATGATCAAAAATACAATCCTGAGAATTATATCAGAGGAGAGAACCTACTTCTGTTTTGTGAATGATACTTTTGCTAATATTTCATCTAATTATTCGTGCTTTGCATTATCAATTTTTATTACTCTCAACATTGGTGAAAGCAATTGGTAGTGGGTAATGGAGAGACTCAGAACTGTTCAGAAGTACTAGGAATGAGCAACTGTGTAATAATGGGGCAATTATAAATTCTTTATGGCTGACAGAGGGTCCCATGAGTCTCCTTTACTTGCATGAGTGTCTACAGGCAGTTAATGAAACCTATATTGTTAATTATTTTTGTGGATTTAAATACTTCCCCCACTTTCTTCATTGCTTCCCAGTGTAATCGTGCATTTCCTCGAGTATTTCTTCATTTGTTATTGTTTTGTTTTCTGAGGTTGAGTTTCTCTGTGTAGGTACAGTTGTTTTGCAGTTTGGACTATGAAACTTCCTGAACTCTCAGTGATCCACTTGCTTCTGTCTCCATTGTTTTGAAATTATGAACCAGTGAGCCAAGAGTTCTTGAGGGTTTCATTTTTTACACACATTTTTAAAAACCTCGTTTTACGTACCCTTCTCAGCCCCCCTCCAGTTCTCCCACTGGCTACACCATCCCCCCCATCCTACCCTCATTCACTACTCACAGAGAAAGAGGCCTCTTATGGGAAATTATCAAATCTGTACCATTATTTCAGACAGGACCAAGGCCCTCCCGCCTATATCTAGGCTGAGCAAGTTATCCTCCCATAGGGAATGACTTCAAAAAGCCAGTTCATGTACTATGCATAAATACTATTTATACTGCCAGTGGCCCTAGATTCCCCAAGTCCCCCAAATGATACCACTATCAGGAGTGTTTTGCAGACTCCCCAGCTGTCATCTAGAGTCCCTGAGCTGCCACTTTTTTTAGGTAAGTTGCTTCTCTGAGTTTCCCCAACATGGTCTTAAACCCTTTTGCTCATCACTACTCCCTCTCTACAACTGGACTCCAGGGTTTCGGCTCAGTGATTGGCTACGAACTTCAGTTTCCATCAGCTGCATTGCTGATGGGAATGCAAACTTTTACAGCCACTTTGGAAATCAGTATGTTGGTTACTCATGAAAATGGAAATCAATCTACCTCAACACCCAGCAATTTCACTATTAGTAATAAAACCAAAGGCTTCGCACAAATACCACAAGGACATACCACAGTGGGAATCATCTTTTTTGCATGTGTCAAGTAGTTTTCTTCATTTGTTTGATTTTAGCTGTTTTATTTTGAAGGAGGCTTTTACTGTGTGCCACTGACCCAAGAGGCATTAGGGTTTGCTAAGCCACTTGTGAGCATGCCTGTTACATCATATGCTGGTTTTTCTTCGGGGGGTGGGGGGGACAGCCCATTTGGTTGACAGATTGCAGAGGCAAGGACAGGTGAAGGAGGATCAAGTTAGACTTTGCTGCTCCTTTGTGTATAAAAAATACACTAAACAGGGACAGATATGTGTTATTCTAAAACACTTATCATGTCATTTCTATTTCCAGAGTTGTGTTGTTTAATACTTTTTATATCTTTTAGTCATCGTTGATAACCTGTGAAAACACAGGTACCTTTTACAATCCCTTCTAATTACCAACCCCACAACCCAGTTTCTAAGAATCTAGAGGCAATTGACAGCCCATTCTCAGGCTGACAGTTCTTGATGTTTCAAGAATGCTAGATAGAATAAAATCTCAAGCCAGCCCAGGGAAGTTGCCATTTACCTAGCAGTGTTTTATTAACTCTTGATGGTCAGTGTGTCCAAGAAAGATACACATGCCAAAACTGCTGCAGTTATGTTCTATATCTGGCCTAATATAATATTCATACAATTTATCTTTGAAAAATTAATGTATATGTCTAATCCTGGTAGCTTTATTCCATGGTCATGGAACACAACAGGTGCCCCGCACAAGCTAACTTTCTAAGAACTGAAGGTCCTGACACCTCATTCATTGATCAATTTCCCCAATATTCTTTTCCCATCAACATGAGTCCCTGTGTAGGGCAGAGGTTAACTCTGGCCATTTTAACATTGTTACTTGGTGTGCCCCATAATCGCCTGAACGTATTGTAAAAAGACTTGCACTTGGTTCTGAATATCTTATTCTTGAGTAAGTACAGGCATGGATGTTTCAAGAATATCTCAGAGCCTCAACAAGAGACCTCTGGCTTCTTTATGTGCATCACCTCCTGGGAGGCATAAGAAAGACCTTGAAGTTAGATGAGGATGTCTCCCTAAAATCAAACAAGTAGTATGCACATAATCTTTGTGGGGAAGTTTAGAAGCAGTAGTCATAGGAGAAGTCATAAATGATTCCTTTGAAATTCCATCAATCCAATATCCCCATGATGTACAAATAAGAAGCACCCCAAGCACCCAAGATGTGGAGATCAAAGCCTAAAGTCAAGTGGTGAGCATCATGAGCTCAGCTTTGCTGGCTCTTGGTCAAGATGCTGAGCTGGATTCAAGACTTTCACCATTCCTATCAGAAATGCCTGCACTATCATGGACAGCTTCTCTCATTCTAATATGAAGTTTTGAGAGTGAGAAAACAATGAGAAATTATTGAAACAGTTTTTGGGTATTTGCAATTTGGTAGAATTTAATAATAATGTGAAGTTTTGAAGGTTAGCAAACAATGAGAACTATTAGAAGAGTATTTTTTGTGATTGGTTTTTGGTAGTATGTGCTTTCATTAGCAATTTGAACACTAGGTAAAGGATTTCTCAAATGAATGTGTATGGTGGGTGTAATTTCTAACGGACAATGACACATAGGTTTTATATACGATATAAATTTATGTGGTTCCTTGGAAATATGAGTTGAATGGTGTACAACACAATTACATATCTGTGACACATTTTTAAGATATTACATTTTGTCATTATTATTATCATTATGATAGTTGACACTGGGTATGAACACGTGACAGTCCTAGAATTGACTATAGAAACCATGGTGGCCTCAGACTCACAGAGATTTTTTTGACTCTGCCTACAAGTTCTGGGCAAGGAGGCATGTACCACCTTACATGACATTATTGTCAATGTTTGGATATTGAAAGAGATACATAGCTCACAACTGTTATTAAGCAAAGTTTCAGAGAATATGATGTCCCCTTCTGGCCTCCATAGTCATCAAACAAACAGATGCATAGAAATTCCTGTAGACTAGACACCTCACATACATTAAAAAATAATTCACACAGTTACTTTTGCAGAATTTTATTTCAATGTTAACTATGTGTTTTTCATAAGTTTTAAAACTTCAACAAAGTATTTCAAAAGTCCCTTATATTTACATCTCCATTATGTATAGCTGGGACCTATAAGTCAAGAGTACCATGTAAATGCTGTGTCACATGATTTACAATGGTGTTTGTCCAGGATAAACTCTTTGATATCTTCTAATATTTGAAAGGTGGATATAAGAGATGCTGGTCTTAACTTTGTGAAGTTTCTCTGTGATATATCTTTCCTGATGTGCTCTAAGATATGAGAAGCTACCAAAAATCTTCTTACATTCCTTACATCTGTAATACCTCTCTCCAGTGTGAACTCTCTGTGAAGTGTCCTAAGATTTTTTTTATGTAGGCAAAGGACTTGTTACATCACAGACATTTCTTTACTGTTTCTTTCCAGTATGGATTCTCTGATGTTTTCTAAGATTTGAACTCTGGACAAAGGACATGTCACATTCTCTACATTTGTAAGGTTTCTCTCCAGTATGAATTTTCTTATGTTTTCTAAGATATGAGCATGTAGTAAAAGATTTGCTACATTCCTCACATGTATAAGATTTCTCTCCAGTATGAATTTTTTGATGTTCTCTAAGATATGTGCGTGTTGTAAATGATTTGCCACATTCCTGGCATTTGTAAGGCTTCTCTCCTGTATGGATTCTCTGATGTTGTGTAAGAGTTGACTTCACAGTAAAGGATTTATCACAGTAATTACATGTGTAAGGCTTTTCTCCTGTATGAATTCTTTGATGCTCTATAAGAGTTGTCCTCACAGTAAAGGATTTGTTGCAGTCCTTACAAGTGTAAGGCTTTTCTCCTGTATGAATTCTTTGATGCTCTTTCAGTTTTGCATTCACAGCAAAGGATTTCTCACAGTCCTTACATGTGTAAGGCTTTTCTCCTGTATGTCTTCTCTGATGCAGTGTAAGACTTGACCTTGTAGTGAAGGATTTGGCACAGTCCTTACATTTGTAGGGCTTCTTTCCTGCATGAATTCTTTTATGCAGTGTAAGATTTGAACTCACATTAAAAGATTTGTTGCAGTCCTTACATGTGTAAGGCTTCTCTCCAGTATGAATTCTCTCATGTTTTGTAAGACTTGACTTCATAATAAAGGATTTATTACAATCTTTACATGTGTAAGGCTTCTCTCCTGTGTGAATTCTCTGATGCACAGTGAGATACGAGGCAGTACTGAAGGATTTCCTGCATTTCCAACACTGGTATCGTTTCTCTCCAATGTAGTTTGGTTGTTGCAAAATATTATATGTAGTGTCAAGACGTTCATGATATTCTCCCTGGGTATCCTGTTCCCTTGCAGCGTGGAGTCCCTGAACTTGAGCAATGCTGGAACACAAATTTAAGGATTTCTCACAGACTTTAGAATTGCAAAGTTCATCTCCAGTGAGCATGCTTTTGTGTCTCTCTGGGTTTGATGAGTCAAGAAAGGCATCCCTGTGGTTACTGCATCTGTAGTTATTAGAGTTTTCTGTATTTTCAGTTGTTCTATAAAGTGCACATGTGGAGGGGTCATGAAGAATTTTGCCAAAAGCATTACACTGACAACATTCCTTTTCAATCTTCACTTGTTGATAGACAGGATCACATATGTAATAATTTTCTGGAAAGTGAGTAAGGTCATATTAGCAGGGATTGTTCCAAATTAAAACACCTAATAAAAGACATCTATCTATCTTTGTTCTCCCATTTTAAAAAGTCAACCAGCAGCCACTTAGATATTTTCCTTTAACTGTAATGGAATGTGTTATCACAAAATCAGACTGACAGTCTTCAGCGTCAGTGAATCATAACAGATACCTTAACCTTATTGAAAATGTGCAAATACACCAGATGCATCAGGAAAGTAAGGAAGAAATAAGTTCTTTGGGATGTGCTCATTGATTCATTACATTTAGAATACATGTGTCCATGAATAAATAATTTCTCTGAATCTGATGAAGAGTTCAGTTCAATCCCAGGTTCACAGTACTTATACTTATGAAGTGATAGGAAATGAAGTGTAGTGTTCACCAGACCAAATTCCTTAAAAGATTAAAATCTTACTTAAAAGTATCACAGGGTTTATTTTTCTCTCCAGAAAAATGCATTAGATTCTTCAAAAGTAGCATAGGAAGAGACAGTAATCTGCCAGATATCATTGACTCAGATGGCTTCAGGCAGGGCTTCATAGGCAGCTATTGGTTATTTCTATTCCCCCTTGTCTGAGCTCCACATGGTGCATGTTAACTTTCTTCACAGAGTTATTTGACTCTAATCTTTACACTAGCTCCTGAGAGTATTTTCCAGATTGATGCCTGTCTATCTCCTACTAAGAAGATAAGGGAGTATCATTATAGAGACAGACATCAAGGAAGGCCATTAAAGAATAAACCTATTTCCTGCACCCACATTGGGCTTATGATTTGTAAAATTATTCCAATCTGATGTCAAGAACATCAATTCCATTTCCATTTTGTCCTAGTATTTTCATCCTAATTCAGGTGTAATAGGCTTGGGCTGTAGTAGTTACAACAGACAGGATGCATCCTTGCACCAAGAAGCTATGCTATATTACATTGCCAAGAATCCTTTCAAGTGTAGTGGAATATGGCAAAAACATTCTCAGCTCTTCCTTTCTCTTTTACCAGAAGCCATCACTGCTGCCTTTCTCATTCACAAACCCACTGTGCATTCTTCCCTCTCTACAATCCAGGGGAATCTCATTTGCACCCAAGAGGTTACCAGGACCACTTTGCATATAATAGTCCACATGTTCTCTGAAGCAGCCCATGACCCATGTGCAATTTAGAGTAAGAATACAGACAGCTAACGAAGTGCTGTGTTAAGCACCTGAAAAGAACACCAAGCAGAGGGATGTAGGAATGTTTCCCAGTTGCGGATTCCTGTCAGAATCTTCAACAAATTTGGGGGAATTTAAAGTGTGCACATCTTCAGATACTCCTCAGAATTGTATCATGTTGGTTACATATAGTTTCCAGGCTTTAATATATGGGTATAAATATATATGATACTAATTTTCTGATTGCATTGTGGAATCATAATGAGGCATGGTTGACAATTTTACATGGAAAAAGTAAAAACAAAAACAACAACAACAACAGAAAAAACGGAATACCATGAAAATGTTCTTTTCTTATACGAAACATTCCATGGATTCTTGCGGCTTCTAAGGCAAATTAACAGAGAGTTTCCAAACAACGATGCTAATACATACAATGGATTACTTAGGAATTCTACAAGGCAAATGCTCTTACCCACAGAGGCCAGGTTGTTGTAATTCTCCAACATCACATCAATGTACAAAGCCCTCTGAGCAGAGTCCAGGCACTGCCACTCCTCTCTGGAGAAGTCCACAGACACATCCTTGAATGTCAACGCATCCTGAAACAAAAGACATGTTTGACCATGTGCTACAGTGCTTTCCTACAGCAAGCAGACTTGAGGAAATTAGGGATGTACATAAAGACAGTTACTCATAGAGACGATTTTTATATAGTCACATTGTATAATGGATGTTTTAACTCTGGGAAAACATTATAACACAACAGACATACTAGAAATATCCATGAAACAAGACACAGTTTTATGTCTGAACATGGTTATGTATCTGTTATGGCTGCTGTGATTATGTACTGCAGAATCAGCATGTACATGTCTCAGAAAAAATACTTACGGTGAGGAAAAGTTCTTTAATTTCTGTAATTGTAGATGACAGTAATACAGTGACTGCAATCAATTCTGTGTATTTTTTGAGATTAATGTTTCTAATCCAACATGCTCAGTATGTATATTTGAATCTTAGCTCCCTTGCCCTTCCATTACATAGAAAAGTGGTAGACTTGAAAAGTATAATTCATGGTTGAGTTCACAGGTTAATAATCTTTTTTCCACAGTAACTATGTGTGTAATAACAGCACTGCATGCTGTTGTTTTAAACATTAACACATAAGAACACGTAGTCTATGTGATTACTTTTACAAGTATTTTTGAGTCACTACCACGCACATTTGACACACTCTAAAATTTACCTAGAAAATAGCAATATGGCAAGTTAGGCTAAATAACAATGTGAGGTATTTTGAAGAATATTTCATTTCTGTAGAGTTATAAAAATTGATGGAAATCCTATTAGAGAATATTTTTTTAAACTGCGTGAATATGTGTCTATGTTTTTTCTCACCTGCCTAAGGCACCTGATTGGTTTAAAATAAAGAGCTGTGTGACCATGAAATAACCTGGAGTTTCACAGAAAGAGAGAACTCAGAAAGAATTTGGTGTAGAGAGAGATTCCAGAGAAACAAAGAGCAAATTGTAAGCAAAGAAGGATGGGTACAAAGGAAGATGACAGAACATAGATTAATGGAAACAGGTAAGCTGGAGTCATAAGAGGTAGTTTGAAACCAGCCTGTGCTAAAAGCTAACCTTTCATAATTGACCTTATGTCTCAGTGCCATGCCTGGGAACTGATGGTCCCACAAAAGAAATACAACTAAGATGTCCAAAAATACATCCTAGGATGTTTAAGTTGTATTTAAGCAAGTATACATAATTACTAATGTGGATGCATTCAAAAGTGATGTACTGTCAGTAAGAGAATATATGACATTATGTGAGAAATATTATCACTTTGTCAGATGTAATTGTAATGGAGCTCAGAAGAACAGCTAGGAGAAAATTCAGACTTTTTTGCTTTTTTTTTTTTTTTTTTTTTTTTTTTTTTTGCTCCTGAGTTCTGTAGTTGTAGATGTGTACCCTTTTTGTTCTTATGCTGTATTGTCTAACATATTTAATGCTAGTGGTGTTTATGATTCTTTATTTCTGTGGAAGTGCACAGTTTGTCTGATACATGAGGAAGGAATAAATGCAAACCTGTAGGTCAGAGCCCATTCCCCAAATCTCCACTTAAAGCACTGCAGCTTCAGGGAAGGCAAGTAGAACCATGACTCTCACAGAAATTGACCAGGACAAAGCAATCATGAGGAATGTTCTTTCTGCATCAAAACCATGGCTTCTACACATCAATCAATCAATACCCTCAAGACATTATTCTTGATACATGCTACAAATGAATCCCGGACATGAAAGCCTGCAGAGTAGAATTCTATTTAAGGTAAAAACAAAAAGACAAATAAAAAAATGAATCTCTGGCCTGCTACAGTGGCCCATGCCATTAATCCCAGCACTAGGGGGACAGAGACTTGTGGATCTCTGTGAGGCTGAGGTCAGCCTGGCTTACATGCTGGGGAGTACCAGGAGTACACAGGAAGATTGTTTTGAAAAACAAACCCAACAAACAAGAGCCAAGGCAGTAATCTCTAGAGTTTGGGAAGTTGCAATTGAGCATCCTAAAGAAGTGAGTTGTGTGAACATGACATGCCCTTAGATAAACAGATAGCAGGTGTTATCAAATACATGGATCTATCATCACTTGATGGGGGGGATGTATACATGTTTCTCTTATTGTTGATGAATAAAACACTCTTTGGCCAGTAAGAGACAGGAGAGGAGGAGAATACTGAGGAAAGAGGCAGAGAGACCTCTAAGAAACACCTCGTAGCCACCAAAGAAGTAATAGATCCGGGCATTCTCCGATAAGCCAAGACCATGCAAAAATACATGCATTCATAGTTACGGGGTTCTAATTAAGATAGAAAAGCATAAAAATGGACCTGGTAGGATAGAAACCCCATTCTTCAAATGGCGCCCACACAGAGACAAAAACTAAAAAAGGGGCCCATACTGACTAGGCATTAGAGGCAAAAACACAGGACTTTCTCAAGAGGCCCTACTACCAACAATTAAATGGTGAATTAAATGGTGTTTATGAACCACCGACAGCATGCTGGGTGATGACTACATAGACTGAGGCAATGAGCATTGCTGGCAGAGCAGGCAGTAAATGTACCCGCCACATGCAAAGTCAGCAATTAGCATTGGGAGAAAAAAGGAAAAGGATAAAATCCAAAGAAATGGAGAACCTGGATCTGGAGCACAGGTCTTTAATTTCCAGCATCTGGATCCCGCTGGTGAATGTAATTATATTGGTATCTTTCATCGGAACAAATTCATTTAAAACAGATGAAAAACCTTATTTAAAGCCAGAAACACATATAACTCTAGAAAACAGAGAGAATACCCACCAGGATATTGGGATGGACTAATACTTACTTATTAGAGAAAATAACAGCACAGGAACAGAACATAAGGGACTACATGAATACTCAAAGGTTCTGTATGGAAACAATCAGCAGTACACATGGACAGGCAACTGACTCTACCAGGGACACTTCAGAAAGGGACTCATACCTAGAATTTACCAAGATCTAGAGAAATTAAATAGCGAAGAACTAAAACTGCCAAACAACAAAGGGGCAAATCTTTAAAGAATAAT